TTCACCATGTTGAACCATCATCATTCCCTTCACCTTCCTCTGGCAAAGAGGAAGACACCTTCTTCCCAGAACTGTTATTTTGTGGAATTCCAGGGAGGATGCTTCGCTAATCACTCTAAAAGTCTAGGGTCAACAGTTATATATCTTACATATCCTCATAATATACATCTCTTGCTCTTTTCTTGTATACCCATTCAACAACCTCATTCAGTAACTCACTTGGTTTGGGGGTCTTGTATTGGGGGAAAATTAGTATAAAAGCGATAGAAGGAAAAATAAGACCATACCACATATTTTTTGATCATTTCATCCCAAGTAAAGCAGAAATGTCACTAGTACGCAGGCGGTTACAGGGATTGAAAGTGAGAGAAAAGACTGAGTATAGGGAGAATTCAAAAAAAAACAAAAAATGAATAGGGTTTAAGAAGACAGAAGATAGCAATTGACATTGCATTTAGATTTTTGAAGATTGTAGTTATCAGGGAAGCAAGTAAACTGAATGGAGTTCCACAGGTTGGAAGTATGAGAAAAGAAACTGTTAGAGTAGAAGTGGCGGTTGCATTTAGTATTTCAACAGTAAATAAGTGGGTCCTAGATGCTAATCTAGTAACATGCTTAATTTCATGTAGTCAGGGCACCAGGTGTGTGTGTGTGGGGGGGGGAACTCATCACAGCAGTTGCCATGAAAATATTTGTAGAAAAAACAAAAGGAAGCCATGTCATGCTAGTGAGAAAGTGACTGAAGTTGAGATGCCAAGTCAGGATCAATTACATTACAGATCCTTCTCTGGATTTTGTCAAGAACCTTGTATATATTAAGGGAATAAAAGTTGCAGTTTGACCAAAATTGAATGATACAATCTTACTAGGCTGGGTTTTTGTTGTAAATGCTCTTTTTTATCTGTTTCCTTTCTCTCATTCAGAAACATTTGCAAATAAAATGTTAGTGATAATTATAACTAACAAATGTCAAGATCTGAGAAGATGAAGTTAGTATGATATATCCATGAAATTTGTAAGAGTCACATGACAAAAGTTACCAATTATTAAATGAAGATATATATTTGCCAAAACAAAAATAATATAAAAAGTAAGTCTTCTCTTTTATTTTTTTTTCTTCTTTTATGTGCCATGTCCCTTCAGGATGTGGGTGATCATGGTTCTCCCAAACTATCATTTGTAGCTCTTACAAATATCTGATTTTCTATTTTATCACTATCCTTCCCAATTTCTGTTCTAACATCCATTTATCATCATTATTTTTATCGCAAAATTTCCTTGCAACTGCCAGCCTTTTTTACATGTTTATTAATCCATCCAAGTAGTACAGACTCCAATTCAGTGGAAAAAGAATGAGCAATAACTGATCAGTACTAAGAAAAAGACAAAATATTCCTAGATATGATCAGTGGAGTGAGAACAATCTACCACTATGGATTATATAATGGGTTTAATTTAAAATTCCAAGAGGGTTACACTGACCGATAGAAACCTGAAGAAGGCCAAAGGACATTCTTCATATTTTATATGTCCTCTCAGGATATGAACAATCATGATCTTATCTTTGATCTATTTTCTTCACTATCTTTCCCATGCCTTGTTCTAAAATCCATCATTAGTTAGGTTACTCACTATCACCTTATGTCTCTCAATATGTCATGTGAGCGTCAAATTCTCCAAGACTATTTTCCTTATGATATGACCCCAAAATTTCTACAGTCTCTTTCTGATGTTAACTCTAAATGTCCTTTTTGTTTCACTTTACCTTAAAACTTCTTCATTATTCACATGTTCTGGCCATGTTATTTTAAGCATCCTCCCTTTGGAACCTCACCTCTGTAACCTTTTGCCTGTTTTTCATCTGTGAAGAAATTATCCAGCATTTCACTGCCCTATAGGAGGATTGCTGTTACATAAAAGTTCAGCTCACTTTTCTTTGTTTCTAATGAAATAGTCCTGCTTCATAATACTTTTTAAAGTATGTCATAATTGAGGAAATTATAAAAGTTTTTGATTTACCACAAGGGAGATAAACATGGAGAATTGAAAAGGCAATACTTTAAAGACTGGTAGATTCTATTCTAATGCAGACCACTTATTTTTTTAAACAAGTGTAATGCCTAAAAAACGTTAGTAGTTTTGTATAATATTCTCTAGATGGCTCATAGCACTGAATTTTGATTCTCTGAATTTGATAAGCTAATGAAATTAGTGCAACCTTGTATTAAAGGAATAATTTTTTTGTAAATTTTGACAAAAACGTTAATTAACACTTTCTAATTCCTTAGGTAAAATTATATACGAGTTTAGCTCGGATTTCTATTAAAATGTGCAAGGAAATACATTATCAGCTTTCTCTGTTAATTTTTGTAAGTATCTGCTTGTCCAAAAGGACTACTTTGAAAGAATATCTTCTTTACATTCATAAAATCATAAGGCATTCTACTCTCTATGTTTAGTGGATATTTCATATCAATTTGTACTCACTTCTTCTATATGCCATGACTCTTCAGGACAGACATGATTATGGCTCTCCACAATTTCCTGTTCTTTGTAGATCTTAAATTTTGTCTTTTTGCTAGCTTTCCTAAACCTTGTTCCACTATCCATTTACACAAGCTCGACAAATATGTTATGTGTTGTTGCTTTTCTTCAATATGCTCTATGAGTGTCAAATTTTCCAAGCCCTCTTTTCTCATCATGTGCCCTAGAAATTTAAACTATCTCTTCCTGATCTTAAGTATAAGTGTCCTTTGTTTCCATTTTCTCTAACACTTTGTCATTGCTCACATGTTCAGTCCATGGTATTTTCAACATTCTTCTCGAAAACCACATTTCTGTTGCTTCGAGTCTCTTCTTCATCTGCAAGAAGATTGTCCAGTATTCACTGCCATATACAAGGATTTATATTACATAGCAATTCAGTAATCTTTGCTGTTTTTCTAATTAACTTTTTATGTTTCCTGATATTTTACTATTGCAAATAGCCTTCAGTTTTCAGTGTCACACTTTCCATCCTCTGTTAAAGCATTAACCAGATATTTAAAGTTTTTTTAATTGTTTGATTTTGGTATCTCCAATTTATAATTTGCCTGTTAGGTTGTTCCTTTTGCTAACAACCATGCGTTCGCTGTTCTTAATATTGATGTTTAGTCCTTTCTTCTCACTTTCCTTAAGTACCTTCTGTAGGTTGTCCTGAGTCTGACAATAAACTACATCTGGCAGCATCAGGAGGAGTGTAGAACAACCTCTTGTTGTTCCCTGGTACACCCTGACCTAGGGTTGTAAAACCTGTCAGAGTTTGAGCTATGAGCAAATAGTGAACCTCTAAACTAGGGTCAAAATATAAAAATACATTAGAAAAATTACTATCAATACATTATTGGAAAAAAAAATTACCAGCAATAAATTTCTGTAAAAAAAAAAAAAAAATTTACCAAAGCTCACAAGAAAATAAAATTTCAGCATTAAATAACCCACAAGGACTTCATATGGTGTTAAAAAAAACAACCAAACAAAAAACCTGTAGGAGTTCACTGAATTTGCTGTGTCTGCTATCAACACTGTGTTATCTGCATATTTTATATTGTTAAGATTGTGACTGCCAATTTTTTGTCACTTGGTTGTTTTTTGCACTGGACAAGAGGATGTGACTTTTCAGCACTACCTGAATCAGGAATTGAAATTGCAACTGCCAGAAAATATAATATGTTCTAACCCATGGGTTTTCAAACAGTGGGTGACAAGATAAATAAAATGAGTTGCAACAAAAATAAAAGAAAGAACATAATACACATGTGAGAGCAAAGTGCAAAATATAAACAACTCTTAAAGTTGCACAGCACTCAGACATCATCACTAGTTTTTTACTGAGGTATGTTCTTAATTTATTTTATATATATATATATATATATATATATATAGTCTGTTCTCATTGAGCTTATGTATCTTGTTTTTGGTTAAGAACAAAAGGGAATTTCCATAACTGAGTAAAAAGGGTATTTTCTTATTGCTTTTTACAATTACTTACTTGAGTGAACTGGGATTATCCACATTAATTCAAGATGAAGTACAGAAACAGAATCAACACTGCACCTGACATATGTGTAGCATTGTCTTCTTGTGTTCCTAAGTGGAATCAGCTGCTTATGAACAAACAAGTGCATTCATCTCATTAAATGACATTCTTTTCAAATATTACTTATTTTACCTTTGTGTCTGATTTTCCTTTAAATTTGTCTTCCTAAAAGTAATAATTTCATATTCATACAAATAGGTAATACAAAGTCTATATATCTGAATCATAAGAAATATGCATATAAATTGTTAATGCTAAATAAATAAACCTAGTGAACAGTTTGTTTTGAATTATTACACGCAGGTATAATGGGTTGCAATGCAAAATGTGGTTCTTGCTGTGGGTTGCAGTAAAAAAAAAGTTCAAAAGATGCTGTTCTAACCAACACTTTGTCCAAGAGACATATGACCTTATGGATTAATCTAGCATGAAAGGCAATAACTGAATAAGACTGGATGCTCTAAAAGTAAAAATTTTAGGAGTATATAAATGCTGGTCTGAAAGCATATAATCATGATAATTCAGCATCTCAAAAATTCTGTCAGAGATTGATTATAGTTAGAAATTTGCAGAGTTGAAGTAGAATTCAAGCTTGATAAACATTTGATAAAGTGTTTGTAATTCATTTAATAAAGGTTGATATATAGTTTAATTAAGATTTGTTAGATTAAAGGTTATATAACAAGGTTTCCCCTATTGAGGGAGTTTGATTTGGTTTTTAATTTAAAAAAAAACCTCTTTATTTCGCAATCAACACCATCACTTAATAAGATACCAGACTTGTTGAAACAAAATGGCTATTTTTGTAGTGATGTTATAACATACTTACATTATAATTTTTGAATATATATATATATATATATATATATTTGTGTGTTTGTTGATAAAACTGTTTAACTAGATAGAAAATTAGTATACTCACTTCTTCCCCGTAATGCCTGTCCGCAGATAGGTGAACGTGGTGGTGGCACGCACACACTCCATTCACTTACTTCCCATACGTAAACATCACACCAGGGTAAATCAGAGCAATGCTTGACATCTATCAGATTCGTTGGGCAAGGTTTTCCACCTTCATCAGCAGGTTGTAAAATATATTTCTTTCTACTCTTTGCCGGGGCAGCCTGCCTTGCTGTTGAAGAAAATATAAATAATGAATTAAGCTATATATGCATATGAATATAAAAAAAAAAAAAATTTAATATAATTTCTATATAAGCAATAAAATATAAATAATAAATTAATATATGCGTATGAATATAAAAAATAAAAATTTTAAAATATAAATAATAAAATATAAAATTAAACACTATATATGCGTATGAATATAAAAAATAAAAATTTTAATATAATTTCTATATAAGCAATAAAATATAAATAATAAATTACACTATATATGCGTATGAATATAAAAAATAAAAATTTTAATATAATTTCTATATAAGCAATAAAATATAAATAATAAATTACACTATATATGCGTATGAATATAAGAAATAAAAATTTTAATATAATTTCTATATAAGCAATAAAATATAAATAATAAATTACACTATATATGCGTATGAATATAAAAAATAAAAATTTTAATATAATTTCTATATAAGCAATAAAATATAAATAATAAATTACTATGAATTTATGACCAGTATAACAAATCAAGATAACATTGGTTTTAATTCCTCTAATTTGACATTTTTCAATGAAATGGCCCTTTTTTTTTTTTTTTTTTTTTTTTTAGTTTTGCTTTCTTGGATCACTTGTCAAACATCGATTTAGGCAAAAGAAATATGTAGGTCTTAGTGGGGATCATTCTTTAAGGCGCATTTACTGGTGTTACAGAATCATAAACAAAGAACTGTACCAAATAAGAGAAATGGCAACTTTTACAGACCTTCACCAATAGAAACAACTAAAATGGATACCACATGTACTCCAAAAAGAAATAATGACATAATAAAAATGCTAACATTCCACATTACTTCAATCAAAAGTTTAGGAAGAAAGACTCCATCAATAGCTGGAAAGAGTGATAGCAGTCAAATTAAAAAACCTATTTTCAGTCAAATAATCTCCTTATAAGGTAACAGTTAATAGTATCACTACCATTCTTTTCTTTTTATGTGCCATGTCCTTTCAGGATGTAGGCGATCATGGCTCTTCGTCTCCCTCTATCCCTTGAAGCTCTCAACAAATTCCTTCCCTTTGCTTCCTCCCCCAGACCATGTTCTGTCATCCAGTTACTTAAGCCTGCCAGGTATGTCACACGTTATTTTCCCTTGTCTCTCTTTCCCTCTATTAAACCTGTGAGTATCAGATTCTCCAGGCCCTCTTTCCTCATTATGTGTCCCAGAAACTTCAGCTGCCTCCTCCTGATGTTGTTTGCAACTTCTCTATGATCTCATCATTGCTCACATACTTGGTCCATGATATCCTAAGCATCCTTCTGTAGAGCCACATCTCTGTCACCTTGACTCTCTTCAATTATGACTATTGATAAAAGTTAATGTCTAAACAAACGTTTTTTTTATAACACAGATCAGAGTTAACAGGAAGGGTAACTCAACTGCCAACTGAGGACCTAGCCAATTCAGCACCAGAAAAGCATTAAAAATATTTCAGAAAGTCTATTTGCTTCATTAAAAAATAAATTACATTACAATTTACTTAAACAAAACTAAAAACAAATAACTGCTTCATTTTGTTTTGCATTTTTCAATTTACTTTGTAGGGATACAGTGAAAGGTAAGTCCAGTAGTCACCTGACAACCACTTTGTGATATCACTCCATACAGTGACCCAAAGCAAGAGTCAATTTTCAGTTTGTGAATAGCAACCAAATAAGATGTTTGCTTTCTGGGGCTAAATCTGCCACCCTGACTGACAAGAACATGATGCCATTTCCCTTTAGGACATAGATGAATCTGGCCCATTTAAATCTGGAGTCAGGAATATCTTCAAATAATATGTAAGACCATTCCTTCTGTTCCTCCTTATACTTTGCTATGTAGACATATGTAATATATATTTCTTCACATGGGACATGTGTGTGTGTGTATATATATATATATATATATGGTTTAGTGTATGTTGTAGTTTATATAAAATCTCTCTCTGAGAACAAAGCATGTTTGTCATTCTTTTTCCTTTCAGCCATTTCGTTCCATCCTGTCTTTGAGCTATAGTGTTGTTGTATCATGGATATAACAATATATTTGTTGAATGTTGTATTCCATCTCCTTCATTAATTTCTGTAGTTTTCATTAGTGTATGGCTTTAGCACATTTGTCAATTCCAAACTTCATTCTAATGTCTTCGTTGAAGAATATAGAACAGGTGATTCAGTTTGCCATTCTGTGACTTGTATCCGTAGCTACTGAGTGGTGCTAATGCAAGTCAGAAGAGTAATGATGACAATGAATCACCTTGGAAAATCCCACTTTTGATGTTGATTAGTCTTGATATTAATGATCCGTTTGTATGGTTTAGGTTACTGTAGTCATCTAGTTTTTCATGCTCTCTGTAATGAATTTGACCATTGTGGGGCATACTCTGTATATTTTTAGGCTCTTCTCTATCCATGAGTATGGCACATTGTCGAATGCCTTTTTGTAGTTGATAGATGCTATCAATAAGTTTGTTTTCCTTGTTTTCACCTCTTCCAATATTGTTTTATTGATAATTACTTGGTCATTGCACCCATAACTTCCTCTTTTACATTCCTTCTGTTCTACTGAGAGGTTAATAATGTCCATAATGAGAGAAGTGTAAAAGGGTGAATAAATATTTCTTTCCCTCACTCTTGTTACAACTTTATTAAAAAATAATTAAAAACAAGTGTGTTTTCTTGAATTATTTTTTATATGTCAATTTACTTTATTAAAAAATTAATTTCGTTATGATTTACTTTATTAAAAATAATTAAAAACAAAAACCTGGTTCATATTTTCCATAATGCCTTTTCAAATGCCTTATTTGAAGAAAAATATTCACTAATTAAGGTTTTAATCCTTAATAAATTACTTTATTCGTTATAAAAAAAAAAAGTTCGGTTTTTCTGGTGCTGTCATGCATTCCAGAGTTAAAGCTCCAGAAATTGAGTGACATTGAAATGTAGGAAGTTCAACTTAGCTATACACAGTTAAATCAGAAAAAATATTCTGCCTTATTCTTCCAGTCAGAAAGGTCCTGTTTCCTTAGAAATTCAACACAAGTCCTGGCTTTCAAGGAATTCAAAAATCAACCTTTTGTATCAAGAGTTAATAGAAATTATTTTAGTCATGAGGCAGGCCAGTGCTTGGATATTATATTTAACAAAGGTACTCTTATTTTAATTTATTGTTTCCATTTTAATGTCATGGTGGTAGGAAAGTGACTGAAGCCAATCCACCAGATCAGGACCAATAATATTGCTAATTTTACTTTGGATTTTAGCACGGATTGCTAGATAAATAACAGGAGCACTGGATCTATACTTCTAATCATAAATAAAAATAAATGTATACTAATATATATATATATTGTACAAGGCCTTTTGTTTTATGGATAAGTTTCCAAACCAAGATGAATATTCAGATGGAAGAGTGGAATTAAATAACTTGGATATTTCAAAGTGTAACACTATGCTTACAGTTGTAATAAGCTAACTATTGATATCTTCTACAGAGAAATGTTTTTCAAACACTTTTGTTTCTATTAGATTTTAGAACAAGGTTTTCAAAGCAGCTGCTGTCAATTTATTTTTTTTCTGCATAACAGCATTGTGATTCTGCCACATGAAATTGATACAGAAGAGGTCAGTTGCAGGAAAGTAAGTTGACTTTTAAAACTTGATTTTTGTACAAAAAAAAGGCTTGATTGGCAAAACATTTGCAGCTGACAGCACATATGCAAATGAATTTTCATTTGCATCCAACTTTGCTACTTATAAATTCTAATTATGTTAAACTATTAAAACATTTCTTCTGAAACTGTGTCAGATTCTCAATAAACTTGGTGTTGTATTAAGCATTCATTATTTTTGGATTTTTGATAAATTTATCTTGAACACAATTAGTTAAATGCTGTTGGGTTTTATTTACCTAAAGTATATATTTATAATAAACAAAGCAAAAATATCCAAGTGAAAAGTAAAGAATATGAAACAAAATAGTCTCTTTTTGTATGTTAACTTAAATTTCTGCAGTATTTAAAGTTTTAAAATGTTCAAAACCTGTAATGATACAATGCTTTTAAATAGCCTCATCAGATCTAGACTCTCATATGGATGTAATGCATGGCATCCAATTCTCATTCAGAAATGTCTAAACTATCAGCTACAGACCACTGTTATCTCAGATTAACAATTAAAAATGGCTTCAAGCAAATGAGTCCCCTAAGTCTTAAAGAGAAATCTTTCATTAGATCTTATAAGCAAACAAAGGACTTTACTAAATAATGAAAAACATTGCTTGAAAACTTCCAACAGCAGCAAAAACTAAAGCGGATAGCATATGTAACTAGAACAGAACATAGTCGTATAATCAACATGTTGACCCTAAAAGGAAGCTCCCACCAATACTAGAAAAACTTATTTTCCTGAGAAATTGTTCTAAGAGAAAGATTTCTTAAATTCCAATTGGCAGCATCACTGAGTAATCAGCCAATAAATATCAAATGTTTCCTATATGGAGATGGTTCCAACAATTACTATTATGACGCCTTAATCTAAACACTGATTTTAAATGGTTCCTTATTTCAGTGGTAGAGGAGATAATTATAATAACACCAAAGGTAATTATTTGTTCTCTTAAAATTATCTTCAAACTAAAATGGCCAATTAAAAATGCTTAGAAACATCTATGTTTACTTAAAATTTGTAGATTCTTTACAAGTTGATTAAATATTGAGCAAAATTCTGTCCTTGATTCACCTCAGCAGAATATCACTAAATAAAAATCCGCTTATATATAATGTGTCCATAATTAGAGCCGACTTTTTAAACTTTAATAAGAACAATTACAGAAAATAAAAAAATGATTTATACAGAACTAGATTCATATTTCGTTTTTACTGGTAGATTTGGTAATGTTTTTAATTATAATGTGGATTTGTTTTTGTGTATATATTTTTCATGTTTCTGCTACACACGTT